GTCACTTATCAAAAGTTGCTAAAAGCTGCCAAATAAATTTTTAAAAATAGCTAAATTTGTTGCTAGGTGCTTTTGGAAGAAAAAGTTGCTAGGGTAGTCTGAAAAGTTGCTAAATTTAGCAACACAATTGCTAAGTTGGCAACACTGGTGAGTTCTCCGTGGTAAGAAGAACGATTTTTAGAACTTTTTTTCCAGCCATTGAACGATAAAAACATTGATAGCCAATCAGAATCCACCCGGATGTAAAGAGCTCGAGAATTTAAAGCTGCGGACGACACTACTAATAAACTTTATCGTGTGTTGGTATGGAGTTTATTATAGTTACCCACCGTTCCTGGTGTGAACGGGCCTTAACGCCACATTTCGCTACTTTTTCAGCTTTTTTAATATGCCTTGTCAAGTTAAAGAATTACAAGTTCAACCTGGCCTTCTTTTATATTATAAATACATAAAAATAAATACATTCCTTATTAATTTGAACAGTATTTATATTGTATAGAACTAATTTACGTGAAAGGTTTTCCTTGACAAGGTATCATTAGAGTCCAAAAATGTCCAGCTGCAAAATAAAGTAAACTGCTTGAAACTCTACACATTCAGACTGACTGTTTTCTAAAACCTCTATGCCAGGGGTGTCAAACTCAATTCCTGAAGGGCCGGAGCCCTGCAGAGTTTAGATTCAACCCTTATTAAACACACCTGATCCAACTAATCAAGCTTATTTGAAAACTACATGGTGTGTGTGTGTTGGAGCAGGGTTGGAACAAAACTCTGCAGGGCTCCGGCCCTCCAGGAACTGAGTTTGACACCCCTGATTTAGACCATTTTGCGAACCGGTTTAACAGAATCAAAAGAACTGAATTGATTAAAATATTCATTCGCAAACTTTATATCTCTATATACATTTTGCATGATTTTCTCACTATTTGTTTGCTACTTTGCAGTAGCAAAATTGTGAAAGGGTCTGAAAGGAAATGTATCGGAATAAAAGTATACATTTTCTCTTCAAAGTAAAGTAAAAGTAAGTCGACACAATGCAATATGTATATTTTTGTTTCCAAAAACTGCATTTTGGTGACTCTGAAGCCCCCTACAGTTAGGTGGGTGGAATTCACTGTCATAAATGTAGTATCACTGTCATAATAACAGTGGATAGCTGTACACGTGCATTTGTTGCTAAAGCAATCTGGACTTTTCACAGAATTTAGTTCCCGCTCGCTAAATTTACATACTTCCAGAACAGACGTTTGGCGGGAGCTAGGGAAAGAAACAGAAAAGACAGAAACAGAAGCAAAAAGCCATTCGCCTTATTAGAAGTTAATGTATTATCAGAAAAACTTTGAAACTGATATTTCAAAGTAAAAAACTAACATACAGTTGCTTTAAGTACAGTAACAAAGTGTTTCTGCTGATAATATTAACAAGCAGGGGGTTATTGCTGCTCTCCCTGCTCTCACCCATGCTAGGCTGCAGGGATGCGCAGGGAATTCTTGCCCAGAACAGAACCATACCGCCAATCCAAACTGTATGCTAATTGTCAATCATCTTTGATGATAGTGGTCCTGACAGAAGTGGATCTATAACAAGTTTGCAGAGACATGAAAAGGGACCAGGGACCAGGATGTTGAAAATTTTGGGACAATGTTCAAATAGTTTGATCACAGAATGTGATTGACCAACTAGAAGACCAACTAGAACTAGAAGAACTATTTCAGAGACAACAGCAGGCCTTCCTGGTCATTAGAGTTGAGTGATATTATTAGTTTCATAACACGTGTCTTCATTCCCACCACTGTTTCCCAACTGTTCTCTTGTTGCTCTGTCTGCAAAAGCGCTTGAGCTGAATGAATGGAGGAGAACGGTAAATGGCCTTCACAGACCCTCCTGAGCACAGGAGCCAAACCATCAAGCCCACAGCAATAAAGTGGAGCCACAGAAATGGCCCATAAGTAGAGCAACCAAACACTGACTTTCCCATAACTCACATCCAAGTGATTGCTGATTGATTTGTGTTGATAAATTAATCTATGTTAAACACAAGCAGAACTTAATGGTGAGCATTGTGCCATAATTGCTAGAAGGCTCCTGTTTTACATGCTAAATTAATTCCATAACATCTCTTGTCAGCTGAAGGTTTTTAATAGACTGTTACACTGCATGACGGATTATGACCAGTTGTGTTTGTATCTGCTGTAGCATTTAAAATACATGAATCTGACAACTATTGGCCAGAGGAAAACTGGCCTCCCCGACTGAGCCTGGTTTCTCTCAAAGTTTTTTTCACCATTTCTGTCACCGATGGATTTTGGGTTCCTTGCCACTGTTGCCTTTTGGCTTTATTAGTTAGGGACACTTACTATTTGGCAATATTAATGACTTAAATGCACTGACATTATTGGATGAGAAGTGAAGTGAGCTGGACGATGACATCACTGTTTTCTCCAGTGCTGCTTTATAGATGAATTAAACTCATTCCATTACTGATTGACTTTACACAGTTATTGAACTGAACTGAATCAACAATGAACTGAATTCAACTTTATAATGACTGTTTACTATTGTCTTTTTAAAGCAGCTTTACAGCAAAATAGATTTCTGTTTGCATCACTGAATCATTTTCTTGTTTATAACTGTAAACCTGTTTTGAAATCTGTATTGTATAAAGCACTATATAAATAAAGGTGACTTGACTTGACTTGACAATTGCCAATGCATTTGACTGTTTTTGTCTTTGCTCTTTTGCTTCAACAGTACAAAGGGATTCAAAGTTTTATACTATAAAAAGGGGAGTTTTTATTATTTATTGTAAATAAATAAGAAAAGCTACAATGTTAAATTAATTGTGAGCAATTATGAGCTTGATTCCCATTGAAGCATATACGTGTATATATATATACATTCCCAGACATTTGGACTACAGGTATTTGCTTTGTTGGCAAGTTCTGCCATCAGGGCTTTCAATAACTCTATTCTCCCACAGCGTTTCTAGAAATAATTTTGTGTAACTATTAGAACCATAATATTTGACTTCGCAAGTCTTGTAGATGATGAAAGATGATGAAAGGGACTACAGAAACCTCTGAAAACACATGTTTTTTTATTATTTCAACTGCCATCATGCTGTTGCTCAGCCAGGTGCTGATCAGACTGAACACTACATGAATATTACATTATAAATGTTCTTTGCACTAATACACAATAACAATCAACATTGTCATATTCAGGAAAATGTTCTTGCTGAAAAAGAAAAAAAAATGATCAAAAAAAAAATGAACCTGATCTGACAGACTTTGATTTGTAATATCCAAGGCAGTGGAGTAACGGGGAAATGAGTTGATATATGTCACTGTATAACAGTATGAATCTGTACAACAATAACATCACATTCACAGCTGAACTGACAGGCTGCCTGTGAGGAATGATTTACATGTATTAGGAAACCCAGCTGTGTTTGTCATACTTAAAACACATTCGTCGAACATGGACATAACACTCTGGGGAAAAGTTGCCAAGTAGCATTAAAGTTTAGACTAAAACGAAATACTTGGAAACTGTGACCCACATCCAATCTATTGCATGTCCGTGTGTGTGTGTGTGTGTATGTGTGTGTTGTATGAATAAAGATAGCAGCACACAGGTAAACATCACAGTGTGATGATTGAGTTTAGAACCGTGTGTAATTGATTTTCTGTGAGCTTTTATAAGGCTTTCGCAACACTGCATGACAAAATTAGGTCAAGCTAGCTTGTGAGTTGCCAAGCAAACTATCAAACAAGACTAAAGCAACCTCAGTTTGTAGTCAAAATGCACTGAAATCATTTCTAAACTATAACAAGTGATCACTGGAGTACATTTTAAGAAAGCACTAGTACTGTACATCAGTCTTTCCCCGACCTCAAATTTTCACATATAATTCAAAGTGTTCTTTGCTGTTTCTTTGTTAGCCTATTATTTCTGAAATAGCAATTTCAGAGTGAAAACTGTTTCCAACTAAATCCAACACCTTTTTTTTTTTTCAGTGTACATTACTTTTCTATTAAACTGCCTATGTGGAACTATTATGGCAAATGGGCTCTTAACCCAGCTGTTTAATCTATCATTATCTTGCAGTCTTTTTGGCTCAGTGCTGCATGTTTGTAAACTGCCCTCAAGGGGCAGTACTTGCATCCAGCCTGTTTGTCCGCATTGACCCCTAACATGCAATTTTCCCACCTCATGCATTATTGTTGTTGGATGAGACATATGTTACAGAGGAAAACATCTTTACTGTTATTTCTCTCTCTCTCTCTCTCTCTCTCTCTCTCTCTCTCTCTCTTGCAATCAAACTAAATGGAATTTATTTGAAAGAAAGATAGCATATGCACTCTTCTCAAGCAAAATACTTCACATAAATTAAAACAATATTTAAAAAACAGTGCAGAACAATATAAATGACATGGAAAAAATTTTTTTTAACGGTTTTCAAACGTTAGTGGATCATGCAGTTAATGTGATGATCTACACCTGTAGTTACTATGTTAACTATGTAAAAACCTATGTTAACTTGTGGAGAACTGACTTGGATTAAAAGTCATTGAGCAAAAATGATGAAGAAAATGTAAAGACGTTCATGGCATAGGCATTCATTTTTAAAATGATCTTCAAAGTATCAAAATGTGACTCTTCAGGCCAGTTTCCATCAAAAAAATGTGATAAAACATTAATAAATGAAAAGCATCACTTAACTTAGCCTTCCTCACTCTAACAAAACCTTACCCCAAAGACCTCAGTCATAGTGAGTCTTGTATGGTCTACAGATGCCAACACAGCATTTACAGTATTATCATACATATAACCATGTATTGATAAGAAAAAGTGGTAAATCACAGGATAACTTACTTGTCTAGTACAAAGTAGAGGTCAAAACCCCCATAGCAGGAGGAAGCTGCTGACCCTATTTCAGGCAGGAGTCCTGTATTTCCATTTGCAGTGTCCACCAATTTGACACAGAGCAAAACTGCTATCCTCCAAAGCCTGCACATGTTGTAAAGCACTTTTTTTTGAGTCAAGGAAAAGTCAGGACTACAGGAAAAATACAAAAGCGACCATGAGAGAAAAGTAAGGTTCCACGGGGTCCTTGACAGTCCGTAATCCGTGCAGCTGTTCTGTGGAGTTAATTTGGAGAAACCATTCTCCAAAAGACTAGATTTGTCTTTGCTTCTACTGTCTTGTGGCAGCAGAGTGAATGCTTTACAGAAGAAAAGAGATAAAAATGTCTCTAAGAAAGATTCTTGGTTATAAAGAAGTTTCTAGAAGGCAAATGCACACATGTAAATGTGCACATGCACCCCAAAGTCTGACACACTTCTGCTCGCTGCCCCAGTTGCTGCTAGATTGATGGAGTGTGGGAGAGAGTGTGGTTGTGCGTGTTTATGTTTGTGTGTGTGTGTGTGTGTGTGTGTGTGTCTATGCCAGACAGTGCAAAAGCATTGTCTCTCTCAGCCCCTTGACTCCAAAACAACTTTCCATCCTCTTTTTTTAAAACAATAAAGAAACCCAAAGAGTGATTAAGGTTGTTATTTTGCCATCTAGTGGTAAGAAATGTTAGTGAAACTGTTTGTTTATTGACAGCATCACATATGAACAAATTCCAACCTTTTTTCCCCTGGAAAACCTGACATATAAAACAATAGTCCTCTAATAGTCCAATTATTTCATTTTTGGAAATGGAATAGTTTACAGTATGGAGCCGAGGAAAAAAGACCTCAGTTTTATTCAGAGGCCCAAACTGAGCAAAAATATGCAATTTGGTGCAGTTGCTGATATTTATATTTATAAGATAACATTTTGATAGCTTGAAATGCAAATCAATGAGATGTTATTTGCTATAGTATAACAGACTATTTACATACAATGATATAAATATCAGTTGTCACTCTGTATCACCCAATAATAGGTCTTAGTAATATGATATTTAAATGCTTAGTTTTATGAGGTCTTGGGTTTCAAAACATATAATGCAAGGCATTAATGCAATAATGATTGAGAGATGAACAAATAAACATTCTTCAAAAGCCTGATGATTATATTCGATACTCACATTTTAACAAGATTAATAATAATAATGATTAATATATATATTTATATATATATATACAGTATATATAGAAAGTATTACACACACACACACACACTCAATTTTACTCTTTTATTCAGAGGCCCAAACTGAGCAAAAATATGCAATTTGGTGCAGTTGCTGATATTTATATTTATAAGATAACATTTTGATAGCTTGAAATGCAAATCAATGAGATGTTATTTGCTATAGTATAACAGACTATTTACATACAATGATATAAATATCAGTTGTCACTCTGTATCACCCAATAATAGGTCTTAGTAATATGATATTTAAATGCTTAGTTTTATGAGGTCTTGGGTTTCAAAACATATAATGCAAGGCATTAATGCAATAATGATTGAGAGATGAACAAATAAACATTCTTCAAAAGCCTGATGATTATATTCGA